TTTTTCCCTCCAATTGCGACGCAACCCGGCGATGATCGTCCTCGGCAGCCACCAAACTGACCAAGGCCCTGCCCACACATGCCTTGGCATAGCTCAGCTTATCGACGCTGGACAGAGAAGAGACCCCCACCTCGGATTTGGGGTCCAAACCATCAGCGGAACTCGGGCAGCATTTCTGGCATTCTCCGGCATCTCGATTCGTGACGACATGTGTGGCGTCTTCACAGACTGGAAAGTGGTGAACCACTCTTCCACAACACCCTCGGGCACGTTAACGTTGGCAGCCCGCTCTTCGTCTATAGACAAAAAAGACTTCTCGAACAAAGGAGAATCGTCCGTACCTTTCTCAGTCGCCTTACGACCGGAGTCGTGCTTTTTCTTAGACCTCTTCTCTACTCCGGACGAAGCTCCGACGTCCGCCATCTTCACCAATTTCCTCGTCTTCCTCTTCTCCGGTTGCTCCAACTCAAGCGACTTCGGAGAAGATGGTGGCACCTCGGTATGAGAAACCTCAGCAGTAATCATTTCGGTCCCGGCTATGATTGGCTCCGGATCTGCTTGGTTAATCGCTGCAGCCTCCACTACCGACAACATTTCGGTAGTTGCCACATCTGGCATAGACTTCGGGATTTCAGGCATGGCGGCCGAGGTCGCACTTGACCCCACCTCGGTCGATTTCTTCCCAGCATTCTTTTGACCAGCTGTCTTCTTCACCAACGCGCGAACAAGATCCCTCCTCATGGCGTCGTTCAATCTCAAATCGCGACTTTTACCAACTTTGGACTGGAGATCTCTGTTCGAAAATTTACGCCTAAACTCCTTGGCTTCCTTGACAGAGTTGTAGCCCAGAAAACCGAGGAGAGGATAATACACTGCATATCGACAAAGGACAAATAAAGTTACAAAACAGCTATTCATCGCATATGAAAAATTCGACAAAATCGTTACTGGTTAAAATTCTCTTACCGGGGTCAAATTTCGATGTAGTAACTCCCAGAGACAAACCAGCTGCTTCAAGTTTTGAGTCTACTAAGAGCTTGCGATAATCCCTGTCTGCTTTATCCAAACCGGCCAAAGTTATCAACTTCCCACCGAATTCCGGACTTAACTTCGGTTCTTTTTGCTTCGTCTCTTTTTCTACACAGAGTAAAAGTTTCGACCTGTTAGTGCACAGAACAATACCAAAATCAGAAAAGTATATCCGAATTGAAAATCAAATAAAACAAACTCACTGGCTCCGGAATGAATTAACATGGGGATTGTCATCCCATCGATTCGGTGCTCATGAAAGAAGTCCACTGACTGCCACTCTCCACCAATCCATAACCACTCTTCCTGGAAGCCATGGAGACTCTCCGGAATCTCAGTCACTATTTCTCCGACTTTAACGCCGTGTTGCGGTTTCGCCCCGGCAAAGAAGCAACAAGAAGACTCGGCCACCCTCCTCTTCGGACTTTGTTTAAACGCGAAGATGCTCCTCATCTCATCGCACGAGGGAAGTCCTTCACCTCTCTCGTGCAGCAACACCATTAACCCGATTATCTTTCTCCAACTATTCGGTGTAATCTGGCACAACGGTAACCCCCAACTTCGCAGGTACTCCGTGATCAAGTTTGGCAACGGGAACCTTAATCCCGACCTCAAACTCTCCGCAAAGACGCCCACGCAACCCGGAGGTGGACTTGTTATTCTCTCCCCGGGATAAGGAGCAAAGATTTTCACCGAGGGAGGGATCCGAACCTGTTCTCTCAGCATCACGACATCGGCGTCGGTAAGGATACTTGGTTCGCCGATAAAATCAATCGCCGGATCGGGCCACTTCCTCACCGGTCTTCTCCAATGAGGCACCACGAGGTCGGCTGCGTCGTGTTCCACTACCAAATCACCGTCCTCATCATTTAACTTAATATTCAGATGTCTTACCAACGACGGGTCCCATCGGTGGTATTTGAAGGCCAACTCAACCAGTTCCGAATCGTGGTAAACATCCAACGGAACCGACTCAGTACTCGACGAACTTGCCACCGCCTTTCCCTTCCCTTTCGGCGCCATCGCACAATCGAACAGAACACAAAAGGAATAAAAGAAGTAATTGAAGAAAAAAGCTTACCGAAAACGTCGCACGCACACAGCAAGCAGGAAATAATCCTCAGAATTTCAGAAGAATGCAACAACCAGTATATAATACGAAAGCTCAAAAATGAAAGCAAAGGTGAAGAAAACCCGATCAGATATTGCTAAACCCTATTTATAATCGTCGATTTTATGACCGTTGAGTATCTTAATTGGGGGCGCGTCGAACAGACGCGACCCCTAATTCTAACCGACGCCACCTCTTCGCCTGATAAGACACCTACCATTACACGTGGCGACCTATTGAAGTCGACCGTTACCTCATTTAAGACCATTACGGCGCGACCGTTCAGTCTAAACATTAAATCGTTGACCGTTACGACTGTTCATCTCTCTTCTGTCACGACTGCCTGAAAATTGTTCGAAATTCACCAAGTGTCTTCACCTCGGAATACAGTCTACACTTCGGACAGATGACTCACTTCGGTTACATCGGTCAGGATACCGAAGATGACCCTACGAAGACAATAGACCACATCCTGCCGCCGACTTCTTACCGATCCAGGGTCTCTAAATGTCTAGCATAGCAACATCGACGACCATCACTCCGTATGCCCATCGATGTTGGAGGCCTCTCTGTTATCATCCGAATCGGTAAAACTACATTAAGAGATTCCAAACATCACATTAAGAGGAGAACAACCATTGAACCGACGTAATTTTAACACCACTCCGGTCCAGACGATGAACCGGACCGAATTACCGAAGACCGAAGTGGTCCGCGCCTACCGAAGTCTATTCAAACCGAGATCGCCACCTCCTTAAGCAGGTGACAAGGTGTCTACGTACAACCATTCTGCTCCACAAGATCCGTCATCATTCATGTGGGACCTCCCTGCTCCAAACCGCCCACAAAAAGTTACTTTATTCAAAAAGTAGTACACAGATCCCAATGTATCTATCAAAAATTACTATAAATAGTGGACCCATGACATTTGTACGGGGACCTCTCTCTCCGAACCGAAAAAACTTCATTAAACAACACATAAAAGCCCATCACGGCTCTTCACCTCGGTTCACCTCGGACCGGGGCCATCGTTGAAGTTACTTTACATGCTTTACGTCCAAATCATTCATAATTCTCATCTTAATCACGTATTACATCGTTGTTAGAAATCGCATAACAACAGTACCAAAAAAAAAGAAAAGAAAAAATCACGTGTGTGTTTGCGTTTAAAAAACTCTCATTCCATATTCAGTTCAAACTCAAAATTTAACTCAACTCCACTATCCTTAATATTATCAATATTGACCCTATTGACCCTATATATAATTTTTGAATGCCTTGAGCCTAAGTGACAGACTCGTGTGCTTCGTAAACTTGACATAAATTGGTGCTTTGTATTGACACATGTTCAACTTTGGTTTTGACTATTAGACTTGGAAATTACCATAAACTATCTTACCTTTCCTTTTTCTTAAGTCACTATATACTACTCTTACAATTTTTTATTTAATTCATATATTAAGTATTATAAATATGTATTCTTTTTATTTTTAAAACTTTATAATTTTTTTTGTTTTTTATTTATTTTTTATATATGATCTACCAAATTAATCATATTTTACGATCTTCAGTTTTGACATTCATGTAGCATATATAAAATAAAAATAATTTCATATATACATTTATAAATAGAATAAATTTTATTATCGACTCAATTTAAAAACATCTTTTAATAATATAAGTTATTTTATAAAAATAATTAAAATTTAATTTATTAATACACCATAAAATAATTATTTTGTTTTTGCCATAAATTTTAGATAGAATTACATAAAATAAATTTAAGAAATATTATAATATAGTGTTTCTTAATTTAAATAAATTATATGAAAAACTGAATGTTACTATGTTCTTTAAATTAGTAAATATATAAAAAAATATCATAATCAAATATAATAAAATAATTTTGTATTTCATAAAGTTATAAAATAATACATGTCTACGTAAATTCTAAATTATTTATTATACGTATTTACAATACTTGAAAAAGTAATAAACTTGAGACACTGACTCTAATTTTTTTTTTTTTTT